TTCAAAATTCAAGTTTCCAAAAATTTTCAAAAAAAAAAAAATTGGTTTATTCCAGTTGAAAAAGGGACCACCACGTAGAGAAGTCGTCGCTAATTGCGATTGTGAAGTAATGTTTACAATAATTCTTGAAGTAATGGAGTAAAATAGGAAAATAGTTCCCAAAAATTTTCCAAAAAACTCTCTAAAACAGACCCTACTCAAACGGAAAAAAACGATTTTATAGAGAATTTTTTGCGTATTGTGAATCTGAAATTACTTTTGCTATTCCGTTTGAAACCGAGAAGGATAGGAACACATTTTCGAAAAATTTTTGAAAGAAATTTTCCTACATGAAGAGTCTGAAATTGTTTTTGATATAGTTGGTCAAGAAGTCGATAAAATGGAAAAATATTAACAAAATTTGAAAATGAGTTTAGTTCGAAGGGAAGGAAGTGCTGGATTACAAAGTATTATTCTCTATAGATTACGAATTTGGAATTATTTTAGCTCTTCTCTATTGCCTAGAAAATTCAAAAAAGGGATTTTTTCCAAAAATTTTCAAAAAAAGTGAGGGTGAGCTCTATTTTAGTGGTAAAAGGGACAATCACATAGGGAATTCCTCGTTGATACAAATCTGAAGTCATTTTTTATAATAAAATCTTGAAGTAATGGAATAAAATGGGAAACAAATTTCCAAAAAACGTGTTGAAACAGTCCTTACTCAAACGGAAGGAAGACAGTTTTCTAGAGAATTTTTGGTATATTGTGAATCACATTATTCCGTTTGAAACCAAGAAAAATGGGAACACATTTTCCAAAAATTTTTCGTATATTAAGACTTTGAAGTTGTTTTTGATATAGTTCCTTCCACAGCCGATAAAACGGCAAATTATTTTGACAATGCAACTCGAAAATTGTTAACCAATAAAATGACAGAATTGTTTGAAATTTGTCCAGTGGCATTCACCAATAAAATATCCAAAAGTTGTAAAATCGAAAAATGGTATAATTGAAAATTGGGAAAATAAATCGAGAAATTAAAAATTTTTAAGCTGATAAGTGGAAAAATTGGGCAAACAAAATAAAAAAAATTAAAGTTGAAAATCAAAAAAATAATACAATATTGAAAAATTGTAATATCGAAAAATGTAATGATTAAATAAAACATTGGGACAAACGAAAATTTCAAAATCGAAAAATTGAAACATTTTGAATTCATAAAAACAATATGAATCGAAAAATCCAGAAATTGAGCGATCGAAATTAAAAAAATTACGAAAACGAAAAATTGGAAAATCGAAGCGTGGAAAATTGAACGCCACAAAAATTGCATATCAACAAATTGAAGAAACGAAAAACTGAGAAATCGGGAAAACGGAAATCACAGATCTGTAAAATCTAAAAATTGATAAAAAGGAAAAATTTAAATATCCAAAAAAATAACATCTAAATTTTTTAATATGGAAAAAAGAAATAATTATAAATTGGAAAACAAAAAATAATTAAAACTCGCAAAATTAAAAATGTTTAAATTAATAACTAGAGAAACTTGCAAATCTAAAAAAAGAAAAACTGAAAAATTGGGAAATTGGGCAATCAAAATGCAAAAATTAAAAATTAAGAAAATAAATTGTAAAATCGAAAAATGTAATGATTAAATAAAACATTATGACAAATAAAAATTTCAAAATCGAAAAATTTAAACATTTTGAGTTCATAAAAAAATATGAATCGAAAAATCCAGAAATTGAGCAATCAAAATAAAAAAAAAATAAGAAAACGAAAAATTGGAAAATCGAAGCGTGGAAAATTGAACGCCACAAAAATTGCATATCGACAAATTGAAGAAAACAAAAACTGAGAATTCGGGAAACGCAAATCACAGATCTGTAAAATCTAAAAATTGATAAAAAGGAAAAATTTAAATATCTAAAAAAAATTATTAAAACTTGCAAAATTAAAAATGTTTAAATTAATAACTAGAAAAACTTGCAAATCTAAAAAAATAAAAACTGAAATATCGGGAAATTGGGCAATCAAATTGCAAAAATTAAAAATTAAGAAAATAAAAAATTGTAAAATCGAAACACTGAAAACATTGGAACGTCGAAAAATAAAAAAATTAAAAATCGACACATCGAAAAATCTACAAATTGAAAAACTAAAAATCAATAACCCAAAAAGCGTAAAATTGAAAAAATGAATAATTAAAAAACTCAAAAATTAAGAAACACTGCAAATAAAAAAATTTCAAATCGAGGAACGAAAAGTCGACTTCTGAGAGATAACGAAATCTACAAGAAAATGTCTACAACTAATTTTTGGAGATAGTTGAAAATTGGTCGAAAATATCAAAAGTGCCAAAATCAGTCTTATCTTATCAAATACTAGCCCCGCCCACCCACCCTCTATTTTCTTACAGAGTATATCATTTGCCAAAATCAGTCTTACCTTACTAAGTACTAGCCCCGCCCAGCACGCCTCCTTCTCATTCTAATGACTATTTTGTTTCTGTTCAGTATAAAATCAATCATTTCATTCAATTTGAAGAAAATCAATCATTGAAAAGGAGACAGGGTGGGTGGGTGGGGCTAATTATGTTCTTCTGTCGAGTGGGAATGGAAACCAACTTTAGGATCTAAGATGTGAAAATTAAAAAAAAGCACTAATCGTAACTTTTTGGTAAAATCAGCCTTACCATACAAAGTACTAGCCCCACCCATCCGCCCTCTATTTTCTTAGAGAGTATGTCATTTGCCAAAATCAGATTTATCTTAGCAAGTACTAGCCCCGCCCAGCACGCCCAATTCTCACTCTAACGACTAATTTTGTTTCTGTTCAGTATAAGATCATTCATTTCATTCAATTTGGATCAAATCAATCACTAAAAAGGAGACAGGGCGGGTGGGCGGGGCTAATTATGTTCTTCTGTCCAATGGGAGTGGAAACTAATAATACATAATAGAATCCAGGATGTGAAAAAAGTAGAAAAAAGCGCTGATTGTATTTTTTTTCTTATACTACTTGCTATAGAATTTATTGCTTATTTCATGCACCTGACCTGACTTGACCTTACGTAACCTGACCTGTTTTGACTCCTCTATTGTTCCAAATATGCAAATTTTAAACATTTCAGTAAATAATATATAAAAACTATAAAGCACATTACTGAAACAATTGTGTTTTGTGAAACAAAACATACCTAATAATAATTTTGTTTTTTATTTTCAAAATTTTTACAGCGAGCTATTTTGACGGAACTGTAAAAATTGCTGTATTTCAATTAGCGATTTTGCAAAAACGGTGGGAATTTCAAAAGAAACGAAGTCGAAAATGACTTCTGGATATCGAAATCTAGAAGAAAATGTCTTCAACTAATTTTCGGAAGCAACTGAAAAATGATCGAAAATGACAAAAATGCTAAAATCAATCTTATCCACTCAAATACTAGCCCCACCCACCCGCTCTCTGTTGTCTTGGAAGGTATGTCATTTACCAACATCAATATTTCTTGTCAAATACTAGCCCCGCCCACCCGCCCTCTATGTTCTTGGAAGGTATGTGATTTGCCAAAATCAGTCTTATTTTATCAAATACTAGCCCCGCCCACCCGCCCTGTATTTTCTTGGAAGGTATGTTATTTGCCAAAAATCAGTCTTCTCTTGGCAAGTACTAGCCCCGCCCAGCACGCCTCTTTCTCATTCTAACGACTATTTTGTTTCTGTTCAGTATAGGATCATTCATTTCATTCAATTTGGATAAAATCAATCACTGAAAAGGAGACAGGGTGGATGGGCGGGGCTATTATGTTCTTCTGTCGAACGCGAGTGGAAACCAACTTTAGAATTTAAGATGTGAAAAAGTAAAAAAAACGCGCTAATCGTAACTTTTTTTCTTAAAATCAGTCTTATCTTAGAAAGTCCTAGCCCCACCCACCCACCCTCTATTTTCTTAGAAGATATGTCATTTGCCAAAATCAGTCTTACTGAATTTGTACTAGCCCCACCCACCCGCCCTTTATTTTCTTGGAAGGTATGTTATTTGCCAAAATCATTCTTATCTTAGCAAATACTACAGCCCCTAGAAATACATGTACCGTCACCGTGCAGCAAACCTGGCGGAAACTTAACAAAAACAAAATTTATTAACACATTTGACAGACCGCGAAATTTAAAATGGTTTTATGTTGGATTTAAAGTTTGTAGTTTATATACAAAATATGGATTTTTAATTTGAATAAAATATAAAATTTAATCAATAACATCTTATTTAATAATTATTATTAGTTATATTAATTGACATTTAATTGACTTTAAACAAAAAGACCACGTGACAACAGTTGTTTACGCGCTGTCAACTCTCTGCTGACACAATTTGGTTCCAAACCAGGGGAATTTTTTGCGTTACCAACTGCATTTGGTCCACTCGTACAACAATGGATGCCGGTACTATGTATTTCTAGGGGCTACAGCAAATACCTACCACCCCCCTCTCCTCATTTTAACCACTAGTTTAATTTCTGTGCAGTATAAGATCATTTATTTCATTCCGATCGGATAAAATCCATCACTGAAAAGGAGACAGGGTGGGTGGGCGGGGCTAATTATCAGGAGCCGTCCTACAATTTTTTTGACACCAGATTCTTGTCCAGGAGGTTCGAATTAGAGAAGAGAGGAATTTTCAAACAAATCGGAGTTCGTTTAAGTGAGATAAATCGGAAAATTTTGGTCTTACGGAAAAATTTGGTGAAAAATTAAACATTTTCCAATTTATCTGAAATTCGACTTCTAAACAAAATCCTTATTAACCCATACTCAAAGACTAAGTATGTCGCTTTCTTTGGCAATGCTACCAGTGTTACCAACCAGATCTCGTTCAAACTGTCAAATTGGTTGAAAGACCTTGAACTGCGTTACCAACCTAATTACTGTGGTGCAAAATTATTCTTGTTGCCAACTTTATTATGATGTAACCACATTTAATAATCTGTGTGTTTGTTATAGGATTTGAATGAAATAAACTTAAAAGTTCTTTGGTATTTATTGACCCATTTCGTTTGTTTCTGGCATAAAAAATACAAGGGACTCCCAGAGGTACTCAGGGCGTTCCGCGCACCGCCCTTCCGAACACAAATGCCCCCCATAATCAACTAATAAAATCCAACTTACTTTAAAACATATAAATATATAAATTAAACATTTACATCAACTAAAATAATCTCTGACGTATTTAACAAGAAATAAAATTTCAACTACACAACTATATCACCAACGTACATATTTTTTATACTCGTCGTTGACAGACACCCGCTTAATCGTTTCATACCCGAGAATAATGCTAAAACTAAAGGTGGCAGATTGAATAAGTCTGGCACTTAAACCCTTCGAAAACATCCTGACACCTTCCTCAGCCCACAAGTCCCTAAAAGCACTCCCCATCGACTGCAGCCGCTGCACCTGGAGGCGCGCCCTCACCACGTCCAGCGGGTTCGTGATGATGGTGGTCGTGAAGCCCCCCAGCGTCCCCGCCATCGTCTGAATAAACAAGTGCGACACCCAGGACGGCATGATCGCGTGAAGCTCGTCTGCAATATTTGCTCAGTAATAAATAAAGTGGCCAAACAAGTACAACCTTGATAAAAATGATAAAATCCCCACCACAGGGCCGAATTCGGGACGTACGCGGCGAGGCTGGCCATGTAGCCCCGGTAGAAGCCCGAGACGCCGTCGCGCCGGAAAATCTCGCGGGCGATCTCCACGGTCACCGCCAGCTTGCTGGAGCCGGGCTTGATGGACAGGCCGAGCGTGCCGACTGCGAGCTTGTCGCCGCCGCCGTGCACCCCCATCATCATCAGGTGCTGGCTGAGCACGTCGAATGGGACTATGATGGTCTGGCCGACCATGGAGGCGCTGCCCCCGGCGATGAGGGCGCGCACGCGGGAGTCGATGTTGCGCTGGGCCAGCCAGTGGCGCACGCCCTCGTACACCGAGATGTAGAAAACCCCTGCAAACACGGACGTTCACACAAAATCGACACGCAAAATGGTGCATACCGCTTATTATTTGCACCGAGGACACCCAAAAGCCCCGATACAGCCCAGCTAAACCTTCATATCTGTAAATTTTTCCATAAGCATCAAACATACCTTAAAAACTGTATTTTATTGGGAAGCGAGTGCAGGGATGGACACTTACCAGTGTAAATGTCATTACGTTTCTGAATCTGTAACCTTGTTTTTATCAAGGTTAGAGGGTACAGGGCGCAGCGAACTGAAAACGAGCTTAACATTGATAAAGGGAAGAACTTGCTCTTGTCCATCATGTCCCATTCGATGGTTTTGATGAATTCTGGGGGTGGCGATTCCACCATTGTGACATCCCCTGCGTACCGCACTTCTGTCAAGTCGAATTTATTCTAAAACTGATCAACATTTTCGCTAAGAGTGGTGAGAGGCTAGATTGCGTAAACACATTTTTCTACGTTAATTATTAACTAACGCCACGAGAGAACGATTATTTATAAAGTACATCTTGTGTACTTTGACACTGACAGTCAGGTGTGCTCACATGACACAAGGTTATGTAAAATCCCTAGAAAAGTAAACACGCTGACGTAACGCGCGCCAAATTAAAAAACGTAAAACGGCTCAGGGCCCGAACTACGGGCCTTGTTGTCCCTTATTTATCTTCTATTCTTACCCTGTAGCAATATAATTATAATTTTTGCAATTCCGACGGAAGTCATATTCTTTGGTGTAATACTGGTTGCATAACTACAATTAATATAGGAAAAAAACCACTTGAATATTGATTGATCGAGAATATTCTGATTTGACGATGACTATGAGTAACGCACTTTTATTGGCGTCACTGATTTCAAAATGACATCTAGAACGTGTCTCTAAAAATGATAATCTTATTAAACCTTTAGTTATGGCTGGTGATGTTGGCTGAATTTATCCGGATGTAGTGGGTAGGTTTGACGTCAAACCCGCTAAATACGAGTACATTCCAAACAATTAAATCTGAAGCTATGAACTGTAAAATTTTAATTACGTGGTTCTACGTCGAAACATACATACGTTGGGTGCCAGTCGAATTTTTGAGTAAATGTCAGTTCCAGAGCTGATTTCAATTTAAACTTTATACTGTAGATGCACAGAACTTAGACAGTGAAAAAAAAATGTGATAAAGACGATGTATAATAGTTCTAGAGTTTTATGCAAGTTATTCCAGTCAATGTACACGTTGAACCTAGTCTTTTAATAATTAAGGACTTATTTTTTTATTATAATAGGATCCATTTGACGAATAATAATTTCGAATTAAAAACGAAGATACAAAGGTTCCTCGTGATTGGTTCAGATTCTTTAAAAACAAAGGCATCTGGGGCCCTCAAAATTGTTGCACATTCTTAAAGAGAAAGAGACAAGGGGTCCTCGAGATAATTTCACATTCTTTAAAAACAAAGACACAAAGAGTCCCCGAGACAGTTTGGACCCCCGAGAAGGTTGCATCTTCTTAAATAAAAACAGTTGGGACCCCCGAGTAAGTTTAAGGTTCTTAAAGAAAAGATAGTTGGGGCACCCGATGTATCACATTTAAAAAAAAAAGTCAGTTGGGACATCCGAGAAGGTTTTATCTTCTTAAAAAAACGGTTGGAGCCCCCGAGAAGGTTTCACATTCTTAAAAAAAACTAAGTTGGGACCCCTGAGAAGTTTTTATCTAAAAAAAAAAAAACAGTTAGGGCCCCCGAGAAGGTTTCATCATCTTCTTAAAAAGGACTGTTGGGGCCCCATAGAAGGTTTCATTTTTTTAAAAGAAAGACGGTTGGAGCCCTGGAGAAGGTTTCACTTTCTTAAAAAAAAAAAAAAACGGATTGGGATCCCCGAGAAGGTTTCATCTTCTTAAAAAAAAAAAAACAGTTGGGACCTCCGAGTAAGTTTCATGTTCTTAAAGAAAAGATAGTTGGAAGGATTTATCTTCTTAAAAAAAAAACAGTTACGGTCCCCTAGAATTAAGGTTTCATCTTCTTAAAAAAGTACAGTTGAGGCCGCTGAAAAGAGTTCATCTTCTTAAAAAACGACATTCGCGGCCCCCGAAAAGGTTTCACTTTCCTAAAAAAGAAACAGTTGGGCCCCCAAGAAGATTTCATCATCTTCTTAAAAAAACACAGTTGGGGCCCCAGAGAAGGTTTTATCTTCTTAAAAAACAAAACATTTGGAGCCCCCGACAAGGTTTCACATTCTTAAAAAAAGCCAGTTGCGACCCCTGAGAAGGTTTTACCTTCTTAAAAAAAAGACGGTTGGGGGTCCCCGAGAAGGTTTTATCTTCTTAAAAAAAAGACGGTTGGTGCCCCCGAGAAGGTTTCACATTCTTAAAAAAGCCAGCTGGGACGCCCGAGAAGGTTTCATTTTGTTAAAAGAAAGACAGTTGGGACCCCCGAGGAAGTTTCATCTTGTTAAAAAAAAAACAGTTGGGGGCTCCCGAGAAGGTTTCATCTTCTTAAAAAAAAGACAGTTACGGACCCATAGAATTAAGGTTTCATCTTCTTAAAAAAATACAGTTAGGGCCTCCGAGAAGGGTTCATTTTCTTGAAAAACGACATTCGCGGCCCCAAGAAGTTTTCACTTTCGTAAAAAAAAAAAAACAGTTAGAAGCCCCGAGGAGGTTTTATCTTGTTAGAAAAATACAGTTAGGGCCCACGAGAAGGGTTCATTTTCTTGAAAAATGACATTCGCGGCCCCAAGAAGTTTTCACTTTCCTAAAAAAAAAAAAACAGTTAGGACCCCCGAGAAGGTTTCATCATCTTCTAAAAAAAGACAGTTGGGGCCCCATAGAAGGTTTCATTTTTTTAAAAGAAAGACGGTTGGAGCCCTGGAGAAGGTTTCACTTTCTTAAAAAAAAAAAAAAAACAGATCCCCGAGAAGGTTTTATTTTCTAAAAAAAACCAGTTGGGACCTCCGAGTAAGTTTCATGTTCTTAAAGAAAAGATAGTTGGGGCACCCGATGTATCACATTTAAAACAAAAGCCAGTTGGGACCCCCGAGAAAGTTTTATCTTCTTAAAAAAAAGACCGTTGGGGCCCCCGAGAAGGTTTCACATTCTTAAAAAGAGCCAGTTGGAACCCCTGAGAAGGTTTTATTTTCTTAAAAAAAAGACATTTGGGACCCCTGAGAAGGTTTCATCTTCTTAAAAAATAGACAGTTACAGTCCCCTAGAATTAAGGTTTCATCTTCTTAAAAAAATACAGTTGAGGCCCCCGAGAAGGTTTCACTTCCCTAAAAAAAAAGTTATGACCCCCGAGAAGGTTTTATCATCTTCTTAAAAAAAGACAATTGGGGCCCTAGAGAAGGTTTCACATTCTTAAAAAAAACCAGTTGGGACCCCCGAGAAGGTTTCATTTTCTTAAAAGAAAGACAGTTGGGACTCCCGAGGAAGTTTCATCTTCTTAAAAAAAAGACAGTTACGGATCCCTAGAATTAAGGTATCATCTTCTTAAAAAAATACAGATATGGCCCCCGAGAAGGGGTTCATCTTTTTAAAAAACGACATTCGCGGCCCCAAAAAGGTTTCACTTTCCTAAAAAAAAAAACAGTTAGGACCCCCTAGAAGGTTTCATCATTTTCTTAAAAGGACAGTTGGGGCCCCATAGAAAGTTTCATTTTTTTAAAAGAAAGACGGTTGTGGCCCTGGAGAAGGTTTCACTTTCTTAAAAAAAAAATAGATTGGGATCCCCGAGAAGGTTTCATCTTCTTAAAAAAAAAACAGTTGGGACCTCCGAGTAAGTTTCATGTTCTTAAAGAAAAGATAGTTGGGGCATCCGAGGCATCACATTTAAAAAAAGAGCCAGCTGGGACCCCGAGAAGGTTTTATCTTCTTAAAAAACAAACGTTTGGGGCCCTCGAGAAGGTTTCACATTCTTAAAAAAAGCCAGTTGGGACCCCCGAGAAGGTTTCGCATTCTTAAAAAAAAGACGGTTCGGGCCCCCGAGAAGGTATTATCTTCTTAAAAAAAAGACGGTTGGGGCCCCCGAGAAGGTTTCATATTCTTAAAAAAAGCCAGTTTGGGACCCCCGAGAAGGTTTTATCTTCTTAAAAAAGACAGTTGGGACCCCTGAGAAGGTTTCATTTTGTTAAAAGAAAGACAGTTGGGACCCCCGAGAAAGTTTCATCTTCTTAAAAAAAAGACAGTTGGAACCTCCGAGTAAGTTTCATGTTTTTAAAGAAAAGATAGTTGGGGCACCCGAGGCATCACATTTAAAAAAAAAGCCAGTTGGGACCCCGAGAAGGTTTTATCTTCTTAAACAACAAACGTTTGGGGCCCTCGAAAATGTTTCACATTCTTAATAAAAGCCAGTTGGGACTCCCCAGAAGGTTTCATCTTCTTAAAAAAAGACAGTTACGGTCCCCTACAATTAAGGTTTCAGCTTCTTAAAAAACGATATTCGCGGCCCCCGAGAAGGTTTCACTTTCCTAAAAAAAAAAAAGTTATGACCCCCGAGAAAGTTCCATCATCTTCTTAAAAAAGACAGTTGGGGCCCCAGAAAAGATTTTATCTTATTAAAAAAAAACATTTGGAGCCCCCGAGAAGGTTTCACATTCTTAAAAAAGCCAGTTGCCACCCTTGAGAAGGTTTTACCTTCTTAAAAAAAGACGGTTGGGGCCCCCGAGAAGGTTTTATCTTCTTAAAAATAAGACGGTTGGAGCCCCCGATAAGGTTTCATATTCTTAAAAAAGCCAGTTTGGGATCCCCGAGCAGGCTTTATCTTCTTAAAAAAGCCAGTTGGGATCCCCGAGAAGGTTTCATTTTGTTAAAAGAAATACAGTTGGGACCCCTGAGAAAGTTTCATCTTCATAAAAAAAGCCAGTTGGGACCCCCGAGAAGGTTTTATCTTCTTAAAAAAAAGACTGTTGGGGCCCCCGATAACGTTTCATGTTCTTAAAAAAAAGATAGTTAAAGATAGTTGGAGCACTCGAGATTTCACATTTTTCAAAAAAAGACAATTGGGGCCCCTGAGATTTCACATTGTTAAAAAAGCCAGTTGCGACCCCTGAGAAGGTTCTACCTTCTTAAAAAAAAGACGGTTGGGGCCCCCGAGAAGGTTTTATCTTCTTAAAAAAAAGACGGTTGGGGCCCCCGAGAAGGTTTCATATTCTTAAAAAAAGCCAGTTTGGGACCCCCGAGAAAGTTTCATTTTGTTAAAAGAAAGACAGTTGGGACCCCCGAGAAAGTTTCATCTTCTTAAAAAAAAGACAGTTACGGACCCTTAGAATTAAGGTTTCATCTTCTTAAAAAAATACAGTTAGGGCCCCCGAGAAAGGTTCATCTTCTCTAAAAACGACATTTGCGGCCCCAAGAAGGTTTCACTTTCCTAAAAAAAAAACCTGAGAAGGTTTCATCATCTTCTTAAAAAAAAAAACAGTTGGTACCTCCGAGTAAGTTTCATGTTCTTAAAGTAAAGATAGTTTTATCTTCTTAAAAAACAAACGTTTGGGGCCTTCGAGAAGGTTTCATCTTCATAAAAAAAAGACAGTTACGGACCCTCAGAATTAAGGTTTCATCTTCTTAAAAAAATACATTTAGGGCCCCCGAGAAGGGCTCATCTTCTTAAAAAAAAAAAAAAAAACAGTTGGGAGATCCGAATAAGATTCATGTTCTTAAAAAAAAGATAGGGCAGGCGATGTATCACATTTAAAAAAAAATCTACGTGGGACCCCCAAGAAGGTTTTATCTTCTTAAAAAACAAACGTTTGTGGCCCTCGAGAAGGTTTCACATTCTTAAAGAAAGCCAGTTGGGACCCCCGAGAAGGTTTCATTTTCTTAAAAAAAGCCAGTTGGGACCCCCGAGAAGGTTTCATTTTTTTAAAGAAAGACAGTTGGGGCCCTGGAGAAGGTTTCACTTTCTTAAAAAAAAAAACAGATTGGGATCCCCGAGAAGGTTTCATCTTCTTAAAAAAAAAACAGTTGCGAGGTCCGAGTAAGATTCATGTTCTTAAAGAAAAGATAGTTGGGGCATCAGATGTATCACATTTAAAAAATAAATCCAGTTGGGACCCCCAAGAAGGTTTTATCTTCTTAAAAAACAAACGTTTGGGACCCTCGAGAAGGTTTCACATTCTTAAAAATAAGACAGTTACGGACGTCTAGACTTAAGGTCTCATCTTCTTAAAAAAATACAGTTGGGACCCCCGAGAAAGTTTTACTTTCCTAAAAAGAAAAACAAAAAAACCCATTTGGGACCCCCGAGAAGGTTTCATTTTCTTAAAATAAAACAGATTGGGATTTCATCTTTAAAAATACACAGTTGGGTCCCCGAGAAGGTTTCACTTTCTTTAAAGAAAAGACGGTTGGGACTTCCGATAACGTTTCATCTTCTTAAAAAAAAAGATAGTTGAAGCTCTCGAGATTTCATATTTTTCAAAAAAAAGACAGTTGGGGGCACCCAAGGCTTCACATTCTTAAAAAAAGCCAGTTGGGACAGTTGGGGCCCCAGAGAATGTTTCATTTTCTTAAAAGAAAGACGGTTGGGGTCCTGGAGAATGTTTCCCTTTCTTAAAATAAAACAGATTGGAACCCCGAGAAGTTTTCATCTTCTTAAAACAAGACAGTCGCGGCCTCAGAGAAGGTTTCATCATCTCCTTAAAAAAAGACAGTTTGGGGCCCCGAGAAGGTTTCACTTTCTTAAAAAGTCAGTTGGGACCCCCAGAAGGTTTCATCTTCTTAAAAAAACACAGAAAGAATGACAGTAGGAGCAGTTGAGGCGGGGTGTGACATTCTTAAAAAAAAACACTGGGGACTCCCGAAGAACTTTTGACTTTCTTAAAAAAGACAGTTGGGGCTCGAGACGGTTTCATCATCTTACAAAAAGACAGTTTGGGTCTCCAGTTGGGGGTTGTCGCATATATGGCAAAATTGTAGTTTTTTTTTTGTTTACCTCCTTCAACATTTTCATGTGTAAGTTATCAGCGTAATTATATTTTTATCGCTTTTTTTGTTACCAGTTTTACTCTTTCTTTGTTGTAATTTTTCTTGTCTTTTTTGTGACTTTTTATGGCCCTTTTGTTTACCGTTTTTTTGTTTGTTCTTTTTTGTCGTTTCTTTGATCAACCTTTTTGTCGGGGCTTTTTGTCTCGTTTTTTAAAAAATTATTAGGAGTATTTTTGACTTCCCGAGCGTAAATGAAGGAAGTATTGTAATCGAGTCCGTCGGCCAACTCTCTACTTTTACGTTTTCTCGACGTTTCATGACTCCTACAGTACGAAGGAATAGGTCTCCCGTTTCCATCTGTCTGTCTGTCTGTCCGTCTGTCTGCCGTCCCGGATTTTTATTAGACAGATAATCTGCGAAAGTAGTGGGTCGATGGATACAAAACAACATTTTGCAATTTAATTTTGAATCTGCAAAACCGAATGCTTTGAAATCTTGCAAATATTTTAAAGTTATGATAAGCCTGACAAATTTTTAATCAAAATATATTTACTTATCCCCTCCAAAAAATTGATGACGTCAGCTCAAAATTTTGCCGAATAAATCGTATCTAAAATGTGGCTGTAATTTATCAATGTATTATATTTTTTAGATTTGTTTATACAGAGTGACTCAAAAAAATTAATGAATCAATCAATTTATTTTATTGAATAAATTAGGAATTGCAAAAATGAATACTTTGAAATCTTGCAGATGTTTAAGAATTATTGTAAGCATATAACCAAATATATCTGTTTATTCCCCTCAAGAAATTGATGACGTCATCTCAAAATTTTGACGAATAAATTCTACCCAAAATGTGTAAAATATGATGAGTTGTTACTTGTGATTTATCATTGCATTCATATTTTTTAGATTTGCCCCCTATTTTGCCAAAATTAGTCTTATCTTAGCAAGTACTAGCCCCACCCACCCACCCCTATTTTCTCAGATGATTATGTCATTTGCCAAAATCAGTCTTATCTTAGCAAATACTAGCATTTTGGCAAATGACATACCTTTTAAGAAAATAGAGGTTGGGTTCGACCATTTTTTTTTAATTTGGTTAATGACACTTTCAAGGGAAGAAAAAATAGTGTACATCTGATTAGTAAGATGGAAGCATTTTTAATGAAAAAATACATTCAAAAAATCCTCCGCATTCATAAAACAGTAAACTATTCTTAAGCCGCCTCCTCGGCAGCCGCCTCCGACGGCGGCTCCTCAGCCACCGCCTCTTCCGGTGGCGCAGGCGCTGCCTCTTCCACCTTCTCACTCGGCGTCGCTTCTTCAGTCACTCCTGCCTCAGGCTCCGCAGGCGGTGCCTCTTCCGGCGGTGCCTCCTCCGGCGGCGGCGCTTCCTCCTGCGTCGGCGCCTCCTCCACCGGTGCCTCAGCGACCGCCTCTTCAGCCGCCGCCGGCGCTTCGGCCTCCCCTTCCTGCGGAGCCGGTTCTCCCGGCGCTTCGCCCTCCGGCGTCGGTTCGCCGGTAACTTCGACTCCCTCCACCAGAGGCTCGCCTTCCATGGGCTCGGATGTGAGCTCCGTCGTCGTGGGTTCCACGGTGGTCACGTCACCCGAGGTGGGCTCAACCGTGGTTTCTCCCTCTATGGGTTCGCTGGGTGGTTCTGCTACCATCTCCGACTCGGTGGGTTCTTCCGTGGGGGTGGTGGTGGGTGCGTCCTCGCCCTCGGGTATGTGCATACCGACCGGGCTGGGTGGCGCGGCAGATGGGGTTTCTTCTTGGGATGGCGGGATTTCGGGTGTTTCGGATACGGAGGGTTTCTTTTCTTCTGGTTTCTCTGTCGGGTGGAAGGGTTATGAGAGGGGTGGGTCGTGGAGGGTATGTTACCTTGAATGGATTCTTTTTTGGCTTGGGATGGTCTTGAGACGGTTTGGGTGCCGGGAGTTGGGAGGAAGAGTTTGTATTCGTTGGGGAGTTCGTCGTCGCTGTAGAGGACGTCGGAGAAATAGATGCGGCGGATTCGGACGTTTGCGTGAATTTGAACTCGAGTGGTTTCTAGGTAGGTGGAGCCTGGAGAAGTGATTAATTATATAAGGATGATTTTTAAATGAGCATCTAAATCTAACAGATCGACTTGTTTTTAATTAATAGTCATAAATAAAGAGCGGATTTATATGCACACAACTTCGAAACATGCACAGGTTTATGCGCATAAACAATTTACTTCCGGCGACCCGGAAAGTAAGAACAATTAACTATAAACAAAAAACACAGAAATGTCTATAATTATATTTATTACCTATAACTAAGGCTTCGACAATGTATGCAATAAGTGTCGAAGAAATATGCGCAAATATGCATACAGTTTTGGTCAGTAAATGTTTTTTCAAAATTTTCCTTTAGAAATTATTCGCGCTTGTCACTGACATAACACATGTTTTAACATTGAAAACAATCTTTCAACATCGACAGACCAAATTTTGAATTCTCTATTAGATCTGGATCTACATATGGTAAAATTTTTTTTGACGAATAATTTTAGAGCACAACTTCTTGTACCGCTATGTTTAATTTCAGTTGATTTGTACAATTGGTTTCAAGATATTTAACAGTTTCCATTTATTCTAGTGACCCTATATAAATATGTATATTAGATTTTTTTTGTTTGAGCCCTACTTGTTTTTGTCTATTTGCCCATTTGTCTATTTGTACTTGATAAGATTAGACTGATTTTGGCAAAGGATATACCTTCTAAGAAAACAGAGGGTGCGTGGGCGGGGCTTGAACTTGATAACATAAGACTGATTTTGGCAAATGATATACTTTCTAAGAAAACAGAGGGTGGGTGGGCGGGGCTTGTATTTGCTAAGAAAAGACTCAATAATGTCAAAAGTAGTCACTAGAAAATCACTAGGATTTAGAAAAAATTACCTCCCATCTCCTTTCTCCATTTTAATTACTTAATTTATTTACTGTAAAATAGGAATTGAGTTCTTTTTTGAAAAACAGTAGAACCTAATATTTAATAAAAGAAACATTTTATCGGTTCTGAGACGGAAGTTGTAAAGCTACTGCTTGCCTATAAAACACCCTGTAGGAATTGACATCATTTGTCAGAATCAATCTTATCTTTACAAGTACTAGCCCCACTCACCCCCTTCTATTTTCTTAGAGGGTATATCATTTGCCAAATCAGTCTTATCTTAGCAAATACAAGCCCCACCCACCCACCCTCTATTTACTTAAGGGGTATATCATTTGCCAAAATCAGTCTTATCTTTACAAGTACTAGCCCCACCCACCCACCCTTTATTTTCTTAAGGAATATGATATTTGCCAAAATCAGTCGAATCCTAGGAAGTACTATCCGCATTTACAAATTCTCTTCCGAAAATTTTACTCACAAGCTTACATTTTTTCTAAAACACACTTAAATTTTTGAAAAACATTTTCACCTATTTTACCTTGAACATTGGATAGTGTTTGAAAACAATTTGTTACCAGCTGAATAGAATTTACCAGTGCTAAATTGTTGTATTGAAGTTATAATTTTTTTTCAATTTCTTCCCTAAACGTTCAAATTTTTTGGGAACGTTTTTGGGAGTTTTGATTTTATTTTTCTTGTTTATTAGGACAGATATCGTAACGACGATTTCAGATTTGTAACTGGCGGAAGATTATCTCAAATTTGACACCAAATTTGGGTGATTGAACCAATTTTTACAACTTTTTTTTGGAAAATTTTTGAAAATTTTGAATTCACTTTCCGTATTTATTGGAACAGATGTCGTGACGGCAGTTTTGGATTTGTAATTGGCGGAAAGTTATCTAAAATTTTACACCAATTTTCAATCGATTGAACCAATTTTAATCATTTTTTTGGAAAATTTTTGAAAATGTTGAATTCACATTTCGTATTTATTGGAACAGATATCCTGAAGAATATATGAACAAATGTCGTGAAGACGATATCGAATTTGTAATTGACGTGAGAGTTTCTACAATTTGACACCAATTTTCGGTCGATTGAACACAATTTTTTGGAAAATTTTTGGAAATTTTGATTTCACTTTTCGTGTTTATTGAAACAAATATAGCGACGGTGATCTCGGATTGGTGATTGGCGGAAGATTATCTACAATTTGACACTAATTCTTTGTCAATTTAACTCATTTTAGTCATTTTTTTAGAAAATTTTTGAAAATTTTGGAACCATATATTTATTTTAATAGATGTCATGAAAGTGACTTCGAATTTGTAACCAACGGAAGATTATCTACAATTTGACACCAATTTTCGGGTGATTCAACCAGTTTTAACCATTTTTTTGGAAAATTTTTTAAAACTGTGGAACCAAATGTTACCTTTATTTCAACGTATGTTGTGAAGGCAATTTTTTTGTGCAAGATTATCCACAATTTGACAAATTTTCGGTGGATTGAACAAATTTTAACTATTTTTTTGAAAAATTTTAGAAAATTTTGTAATTAAATTTTGTTTTTATTTGAATAGATATCGTGAAGACAATTTCGGATTTGTAATTGAGGGAAGAGTTTCTACAATTTGACACCATTTTTCGGTCGATTGAGCTAATTTTAACCATTTTTTTTGAAAAATTTTACAAAAACATTATAATCAAATTTTACTTTCATTTGACCAAATGTCGCAAAGACGACTTCGAATTTGAAATTGACGTAAGAGTTTCTACAATTTGACAACAATTTTCGGTCGATTGAACACATTTTAGCCATTTTTTGAAAATTTTTGGAAATTTTGAATTCACTTTTCGTGTTTATTGGAACTGATATCCTGACGGCCATTTCACACTTGTAACTAGTTAAAGATTATCTAAATTTTGACAACTTTCGGTCGATTCAACCAATTTTAACCATTTCTTTTTTGAAAATTTTTGAAAATTTTGGAACCAAATATTACCTTTAATTCAACATATGTGGTGAAGGCAACGGATTTGTAATTGGCGTACGATTATCTACAATCTGACACCAATTTTCGGCCATTTGAGGCAATTTTAACAATTTTTTGAAACATTTTAGAACATTTTGGAATTAAGTCTACTTTTATATGATTAGATGTCGTGAAGTCGATTTCAGATTTGTAATTGACGAAAGCGGTTCTATAATTTTACAAATATTTTCGGTCGATTAAACAAATTCTAAACATTTTTTTGGAAAATTTTTGAAAATTTTGGAACCAAATACTACCTTTATTTCAACATATGGCGTGAAGGCAGTTTCGGATTTATAACTTACAGGAAGATTATCCACAATTTGACACCAATTTTCAGTCGATTGAACAAATTTTAAGCATTTTTTTGAAAAATTTTAAAAGATTTTGGAATTAAATTTTGTTTTTTTTAATAGATGTCTTGAAGACAATTTCGGGTTTCAAATTGACGGAAGAGTTTCTACAATTTGACACCAATTTTCTCGATTGATTGAAACCTAGTTTAGCCACTTTTTTGGAAAATTTTTGGAAATTTCGATTTCACTTTTCGTATTTATTGCAACAGATATCGTGACGGTGATTTCAGCATTGTAATTGGGGGAAGATTATCTACAATTTGATACCAATTTTCAGGCGATTGAACAAATTTTAACCATTCTTTGGAAAATTTTTGAATATTTTTAATTCACTTTTTGTGGAACAGATACCTAGACGGCGATTTCAGATTTGTAATTTGCGGGAGAGTGTATAAAATTTGACACCAATTTTCGGTTGATTGAACCAATTGTAACAATTTATTTTGGAAATTTTGTTAAAATTTTACATTTACTTTTCGTATTTATTGGAACAGATATCGTGGCTGCGATTTCAGATGATCTACCCTTTAATACCAGTTTTCAGTGGATTGAGCCGATTTTAACCATTTTTTTGAAAAATTTTAGAAAATTTTGGAATAAAATTTTGCTTTTATTTGAATAGATGTCGTGCTAGACGATTTCGGACGTAATTGACGGAAAAGTTTCTATAATTTGAATCCAATTTTCGATTGATTGAAGAAATTTGAGCCGTTTTTTTGGAAGATTTTTGGAAATTTTGGAATTAAATTTTACTTTGATTTGAACAAATGTCTTGGAGACGACTTTGAATTTGTAACTGATGGAAGATTATCTACCATTTGACACCAATTTTCGGTCGATTGAGCCAATTTTAACCATTTTTTTTTTAAATTTTAGAAAATATTGGAATTAAATTTTTCTTTCATTTGAACAAATGTCTTGAAGGCGTCTTCGAATTTGTAATTGACGGAAGAGTTTCTACAATTTCATAACAATTTTCGGTCCATTGAACACACTTTAGCCATTTTTCTTTAATTTTTGGAAATTTTGGTTTCATATTTCATGTTTATTGGTACAGATATCCTGACGGCGATTTCAGACTTGTAACTTGTGGAAGATTATTTAAAATTTGACACCAACTTTTGGTCGATTCAACCAATTTTAACCATTTTTTTGGAAATTTTTTGAAAATTTTGAAACCAAATATTACTTTTATTTCAACATATGTCGTGACGGCAATTTTGGATTTGTAACTAGCGGAAGATTATCCAGAATTTCACACTAATTTTCGGTCGATTGAACACATTTTAACAATTTTTTTGAAAAATTTTAGAAAATTTTGAAAATAAATTTTGCTTTTATTTGAATAGATGTCGTGAAGACAATTTCGGGTTTGTAATTGACGGAAGAGTTTCTACAATTTGACACCAATTTTCGATCGATTGCACCCATTTTAGCCATTTTTTTGAAACATTTTTGGAAATTTTGATTTCACATTTCGTGTTTATTGAAACAGATATCTTGACGGTGATTTCGGATTTGTAATTGGGGGAAGATTATTTACAATTTGACACTAATTCTCGGTTAATTAAACCCATTTTAGCCATTTTTTTAGAAAATTTTTGAATATTTTGGAACAATATATTAGCTTTATTTTAATAGATGCCATGAAGGTGATTTCGAATTTGTACCCGACGGAAGATTATCAACAATTTGACGCCAATTTTTGGTCGATTGAGTTAGTTTTAATCACTTCTTTGAAAACTTTTAGAAAATTTTGGAATCAAATTTTACTTTTATTTGAACAAATGTGCTGAAGACGACTTTCAATTTGTAATTGACGGAAAAGTTTCTACAATTTGACAACAATTTTCGCAACTGAATCAAATTTAGCCATTTTTTTTAACATTTTTGGTAATTTTGATTTCACTTTTCGTGTTTATTGGAACAGATATCCTGACGGCGATTTCGGACTTCTAAAGTAGTTGAAGATTATTCGCAATTTGACACCAAATTTTGGTCGATTGAATAAATTTTAACAATTTTTTTGAAAAATTTTTGAAAATTTTGGAATTCAATTTTATTTTATTTGAATAGATGTCGTGAAGACGATTTTGGATTTGTAACTGAAGGAAGAGTGTCCACAATTTGACAGCAATTTTCGGTCGGTTGAAACTAGTTTAGCCATTTTTAACATTTTTGGAAATTTTGATTTCACATTTCGTGTTTATTGAAAGAGATATCGTGACGGTGATCTCGGATTTGTAATTGGCGGAAGATTATCTACAATTTGACACTAATTCTTGGTTAACTAAACCCAATTTAGCCATTTTTTTGAAAAATTTTTGGAAATTTTGATTTCACATTTCGTGTTTATTGATACAGATGTCGTGACGGTGACCTCGGACTTGTAATTGAAGGAAGATTATCCACTATTTGACACTAATTCTCGGTCAATTAAACCCATTTTAGCCATTTTTTAAGAAAATTTTTGAAAATTTTATTACCATATATGTATTAGTATTATTTTAAGATGTCGTGAAGGTGATTTCGAATTTGTAACTGACGAAAGATTATCTGCAATTTGACACCAATTTCCGGCGATTGAGCCAATTTTAACTATTTTTTTTGCAAAATTTTAGAACATTTTTGGAATCAAATTTTACTTTTATTTAAATGGATGTCGTGAAGACGATTTCGAATTTGTAATTGACGGAAGGGTTTCTACAATTGGATACCAATTTTCGCTCCATTGAACACATTTTAAACATTTTTTTTTGGAAAATTTGAATTCACTTTTCGTATTTATTGGGACAGATATTATGACGGCGATTTCAGACTTGTAACTAGTTGAAGATTATCTAAAACTTGACACCAACTTTCGGTCGATTCAACCAGCTTTAACATTTTTTTTTGGAAAATTTTGGAAAAGTTTGGAAAATTTTGGAATCAAATGTTACCTTTATTTCAACTTATGTTGTGAAGGCAATTTTGGGTTTGTAACTTGCGGAAGATTATCCACAATTTGACACTAATTTTCGGTCGATTAAACAAATTTTAACAATTTTTTTAAAAAATTTTACAAAATTTTGGAATTAAATTTTGCTTTTATTTGAATAGATGTCGTAAAGATTTCGAATTTGTAATTGACGGAAGAGTTTTTACAATTTTATAACAATTTTCGGTCGATTGAACACATTTTAGACATTTTTTTTTATTTTTGGAAATTTTGAATTCATTTTTCGTGTTTATTGGAATAGATATCCTGACGGCGATTTCAGACTTGTAACTAGTCGAAGATTATCTAAAATTTGACACCAACTTTCGGTTGATTCCACCAGTTTTAACCATTTTTTTGGAAAATTTTTGAAAATTTTGGAACCAAATATTACCTTTATTTATTTCAACATATGTTGTGAAGGCAATTTTCGATTTGTAACTTGCTGAGATTATCCACAAATTGACACTAATTGTAGGTCGATTGAACAAATTTTAACCATTTTTTTGAAAAATTTAGAAAATTTAGAAATTAAGTTTTGCTTTTATTTGAATAGACATCGTGAAGACAATTTCAGGTTTGTAATTGACGGAAGAGTTTCTACAATTTGACACCAATTTTCGGTCGATTGGACCCTAGTTTAGCCATTTTTTTGAAAAATTTTTGAAAATTTTGATTTGACATTTCGTGTTTATTGAAAGAGACATCGTGACGGTGACCTCGGATTTGTAATTGGCGGAAGATTATGTTCAATTTGATACCAATTTTCGGTCGATTGAGCCAATTTTAACCATTTTTTTGAAAAATTTTTGAAAATTTTGAAATCAAATTTTACTTTCATTTGAACAAATCTCGTGAAGACGACTTTGAATTTGTAATTGACGTAAGATTTTTTACAATTTGACAACAATTTTAGCAATTGAACCAAATTTAGCCATTTTTTTTTAAATCTTTGGAAATTTTGATTTTACTTTTCGTGATTATTGGAACGGACATCCTGACGGCGATTTCAGACTTCTAACTAGTTGCAGGTTTCTAAAATTTGACACCTAATTTCGGTCGATTCAACCAATTTTAACCATTTTTTGGAAAATTTTTTAAAATTTTGGAACCAAATATTATCTTTATTTCAACATATGTTGTGAAGGCAATTCTGGATTTGTAACTTGCAGAAGATTATCCACAAATTGACACTAATTTTAGGTCGATTGAACACATTTTAACCATTTTTTTGAAAAATTTTTGAAAATTTTGGAATCAAATTTTGCTTTTATTTGAATAGATTGGGTGAGGAGAATTTCGGATTTGTAACTGACGGAAGAGTTTCTACAATTCGACACTAATTTTCGGTCGATTGAACCCTAGTTTAGGCATTTTTTTGGAAAATTTTTGGAAATTTTGATTTCACTTTTCGTATTTATTGGAGAAGATATTGTGACGGAGATATCAGATTTGTAATTGGCTGAAGATTATATACAATTTGGCATCAATTTTTAATGGATGGCTCAAATTTTAACCCTTTTTTTGGAAAATTTTAGAAAATTTTGGGATCAAATTTTACTTTTATTTGAATAGATGTCGTGTTAGACGATTTCGGACTTGTAATTGATGGAAAAGCTTCTACAATTTGACATCAATTTTCGGTTGATTGAACACAATTTAGCCATGTTTTTGGAAAATTTTTGGAAAATTTGTGTTTACCTTTCGGATTTATTGGAACAGATATCCTGATGGCGATCTCAGATTTGTAACTGGCGGAAGGTTATCTACAATTTGATACCAGTTTTTAGTGGATGGCACAAATTTTAGCCAATTTTTTGAAAAATTTTTTAAGATTTCATCATCATATTTTACCTTTATTTCAATAGATATACTGAAGGTAATTTTATATTTGTAACCAGCAGAAAATTATCAATAATTTAACAGTAATTTTCGGTCGATTGGACCCATTTTAGCCATTTTTTGGAAATTTTTTGAAAATTGTTAATTCATTTTTTGTATTTATTGGAACAGATATCGTGACAGCGATTTAGGATTTGTAATTGGCGGAAGATTATCTACAATTTGACATCAATTTTCGGTTGATTAATGAAATTGTAACCATTTCTTTTTTTGGAAAAATTTTGAAAATTTTGAATTCAGTTTTCGTGCTTATTGGAACAGATATCGTGACGGTGATTTCAGATTTGTTACTGGCAGAAAATTATCCCCAATTGGATTCAACCACTTTTAACCATTTTTTTGAAAAATTTTTGAAAATGTTGGAATCAAATTTTACTTTTATTTGATTAAATGTCGTGAAGACGATTTCGAATTTGTAATTGACGGAAGAGTTTCTACAATTTGACACCAATTTTCGGCAGATTGAACCCATTTTAGCCGTTTAATCCACTTTTCGTGTTTTCGGAACAGGTATCCTGACGACTGTTTCAGATTTGTAACTGGTTGAAGATTATCCACAATTTGACACCAATTTTCGGTCGATTGAGCAAATTTTAACCATATTTTTGCAAAATTTTTGAACATTTTTAATTCACTTTTCGTGTTTGTTGGAACAGAAACTGTAACGGCAATTTCAGGTTTGTTACTGGCGGAAATTTATCTACAATTTGACACTAGTTTTCGATCGACTGAACCCATTTTAACTATTTTTTTGGAAAATTTTTGAAAATTTTGAATCCATTTTCGTGTTTATTCGAGATGTCGTGACAGCGGCTTCAGATTTCCAAATTGCAAAAATGTAAGAATAAAGAAAATAAAAATCCGAAACGAAAAATTGCAAATCGAAAATTTGAAGAAATGAAAAATTCGAAAATTAAAATTTGAAAGCTCGAAAAATTGCAAATCGAGAAACTTTTTTATCCAGTCGTGGACACTTGCAGAAATTTTTGGCATTTTGGACTGGAAATTCACTTGTCAGTACCAAAATAAGGAGTGACAAAATCAATTACAATAAATTGCATATAATCCACTCTGTAGTCATGAATTCTACCTCGGTTAAATCTTTTGTAGACCTCACGGACTACCTTAACCCGGATTTCGCAATTACCTCTTTAAAACGTCGAAAAAAACCTTATTCTAGCGTCAAAATAACATGTTTACCGTAAGCTCGTTTAGTGAAGTCGGCCAAATTAAACTGGACCTGATTCCACCCAGTGCTCAGCCCGATGGGCATCGTGGTACAAAACGGTCGCACCTTGGTCGTTGACTGAAAATTAGAAACTCTGAACCGTCGATGCATATCTTTATCATCTTAAACAAAAAAAAACGAAACCATTAGTCCCAGTCCAGCGCCACAATTATCCCTCCACTCACCCAGAATCTGTATCTCGAACGTGAAATACTTCTTCATGTTCTTGATGATCATGACCAAAAAGGGCAGCTTGATCCCCAGCGAGAGCCTGGGCTTGATGGGGCACGTGATGTAGGTCGTGGCTACGTTGGTCCCGGAGATCTCCAGCACCAGAGAGCGCACCTCGTCGTCGACGACGCGTCTGATGTGGCCGTTCTTCACCTGGAACAGAAAGTGCGAATCCATCACAGGTGGATCTCGGGAGAGATCCGAGCGTCGCGGACGTGCGTCGCCTGAGAACTCTCCGACTGCATTAATATGGTAATGGGCACGACTGGGATGATAAACGTCCGGCGAGTGACAAGACCCGGCGAAACTCACTTGCTTGTCCCACAGCTGCAAAGGGTTGCTGCCGACGCTGTAGAAGATCGACATGAAGCCGCTCTGGTACGCGTTGGCGAACATCACGAAACGATTTTCGGGAACTGTCAGTGGGTTTGTTTACGTCGACTTTGACTTTTACGTGAATTTGGATGCGAGATGGACGTGCGATGACGTGCGGAAGCGAAATTTTGACGGGTCGGATCGAGGGGAGTCGGGGAATCGAGCTCAAGGGGCAGTTATAGAATAATTTAACTATTGAACAACTTAAGGATTTTATTTCCCGGACTTAAGCTATGGCTTCATATTTTCTCGACTTGTTATTACCCATAGAGTACAGTCGTTTCCAAAAAATTTTGAGCTAGATGAGCAAATCAGGTTCTCAAAGATCAATGAAAAGCAGTGGGAATATGACTTTCATGTCAATGTCATTTGCTCGAATTTTTTTAGAAATGACTCTAACCTTTTTTTCTTAATATGTGTAGTCGTCATTTTTTCACAACAAGAAACTTAAAACATGTTTAAATGGTAAATTGGATAGGAAAATATCGATTTTGCTCCGCCTCTCGGTCTGACAACGAATAAAGAAATTCATTAGAATTGAGATAGGGCGGGTGGGCGGGGCTTATTTTTGCCTTTTTATTTCTTAATATACATTGCCATCTTTCCACAAACACGTTTTAAGTTTCATGTTGTGAAAAAAGTCTACACATATAAAATAACACAGGCAAAATATAAGCCCGCCCACCCCCCCCATCTCAATTGTGATGATTTTTTTTTTATTCGCTGTGAACCAAAGGGGCGGAGCTTAACTGCAAAATACTTATTTCTTTACAAAAAATTAAAAACATATTTTTGAGTATCGTGTTATTCAAAGAGTACAAAGTATATTAAGACAAAATGGCAAAATATAAACCCCGCCCACCCACCCCGTCTCAATTGTGATGATTTTTTTTTTCTCGGAAACCTAAAACACATTTACAATTGTAAATTTTTGTTAGGAAATAAGGATTTTGCATTACATTCCGCTCCTTTGTCTCTCGACGATTAAAAAAAATCGTCACAATTGAGTGGGCGGGTGCGCGGGGCTTATATTTTGCCCCTTTTTCTTAATATACAGTCGCCTTTTCAGAACAAGAAACTTAAAACATTTTTAAAATGGTAAATTTGTATACGGAAATATCGATTTTGCAATTACACTCCGCCCCTCGGTCTGTCAACAAATGAAAAATTCATCACGATTGAGATCGAGACGGGTGGGTGGGGCTTCTCTTTTGGTTTTCTTTTTTAATTAATCCATTTAGTTTCCTTTGTTTAACACGATTACTTAAGAACAAATTTCACATGGTAATTTCTAGTAGAACAATTAGGAATTTACAACTAAGCTCCGCCCCTCAGCTTACAACGAATAAAAAAATTAATTAGAATTGAGATAGGACGGGTGGGCGGGGCTTATTTTTGCCTTTTTATTTCTTAATATAGATTGCCATCTTTTCACAGACACGTTTTAAGTTTCATATTGTGAAAAAGTCTACACATATTAAAACAAACAGGCAAAATATAAACCCGCCCACCCGCCCTATCTCAATTGTGATGATTTTTTTTATTCGCCTCTAACTAAGGGGGCGGAGCTTAACTGCAAAATACTGATTTCTTTACAAGAACTTAAAAACATGTTTTTGAGTATCGGGTTGTTCAAAAAATACTAAGTATATTAAGAAAAAAAATCCAAAATATAAACCCCGCCCTCCCACCCCATCTCAATTGTGATGATTTTTTGTATTCTTACAAACCTAAAACACGTTTAAAATGGTCAATTTTTGTAAGGAAATAAGGATTTTGCATTACATTCCGCTCCTTTGTCTATCGACGATTTAAAAAAAAATCGTCACAATTGAGATTGGGCGGGTGGGCGGGGCTTATATTTTGCCCCTTTTTCTTAAGATACAGTCGTCTTTTCAGAACAAGAAACTTAAAACATTTTTAAAATGGTAAATTTGTGTACGGAAATATCGATTTTGCAATTACGCTCCGCCCCTCGGTCTGTCAACAAATGAAAAATTCATCACTATTGAGATCGAGACGGATGGGTGGAGCTTCTCTTTTGATTTTTTTTTTAGTTAATATTTTTCTTTGTATAACACGATTACTTAAGAATATATTTCACATGGTAATTTCTCGTAGAAAAATAAGGATTTTATAATTAAGCTCCGCCCCTCGGCTTACGACGAATGAAAAAAATCACCAGAATTGGGATAGGGTGGGTGGGTGGGGCTTATATTTTGCCTTTTTTTATATACATAGCCATCTTTTCACAACAGGAAACTTAAAACATGGTTAAAATGAGGCTTATACAAGTTTTCTGTTTTAAACATGTTTTAAGTTTCATGTTATGAAAGAAAGTCTACAGTTTTACTATGTTGGCGAATAAATGTTGCTTAAATTTTAAAAAATAACGTAGTGCTGAACTTGTGTTTTATGAATCCGTGTTCTAGACATCGAGATTTTTAGAAAAAAAATCAAAATTGTTTACCAAATATTTCGAATTCTCAAGTTTCTGATATTTCAGTTTGAAGATTCTACAATATTTCGAGTTTTTTTTTTTAATTTTAGCGTTTACAGTTTTAAATTCTTCGATTTTTTAAATTTTAGATTTTTCGATATTTTAATTCTTCGATTTTACGATATTTTGATGTTTCAATCTCCCGATTTAACATTTTTTTAATATTTCAGGTTCTCGATTTTTGAAAAAAATTTCGTCTTTTCGAATTCTCGATTTTACAAGTTTTCGATTTCTTAATTGTTCAACATTTTGGACATTTTTTTGTTGTTGCAAGTTTTCGGTAAGTATTAAGTATTTTAATTTTTCCATTTTTAAAAATTTGGTGTTTTGATTTTTCGACTTTTCGGATTTTGATTTTTCGATTTTACGGTTTTTCAACTTTTCAGTTTTTGAATATTTTGATTTCTCGATTTATTGATATTTCGATATTACAGCTTTTTGAATCTTCGAAATTCGGTTTCTCAACTTTGGATTTCTCAATTTTTCGATATTTTATTTTTGGGATTTTTCAATTCATTCATTCAATTTTCCATTTTTCAGTTTCTCAATTTTTAAATTTCTCTATTTTCAAATTTTCTTTTCTCAATTTTCCAATATTTCAGTTTTGCTATTTTTCGATTTTTTGATTTTTCAAACTTTCGCTTCTTCAGATTTTCGATTTTACATTTTTCCATTTTCTTGATTTTTGAATTAACGGATATTACTATTTCTTTTAGACTTTATCAGATTTTTCAGTGTTTCAGTTTTGTAATTTTTCAGTTTTTCGATATTTCAGTTTTCGATTTCTCGACTTTTAGTTCTTAGATGTATCTGTCAATATTTCCAATATTTAAATTATAAATTTTTCAATTTTTTGATTTTTAAAATATTTGATTTTACAATTTTTCGATTAACTGATCGTTATAGAATTCAGTTTGGAGATTTTTCAATTTTCCGATATTTCCTCGTTTTTTTCGATTTCTCAGTTGTTTGAATTTTTAAATTTTACATTTTTCGTGTTTTTGATTTTACGGTTTTTGATTTTTTGATTTTACAATTTTGCAAATTTTTGATTATGATTTTTCTGTTTTCGGTTTTTCGTTTTCTAAAATTTAAGATTTTTGGATTTTTTGATGTTCTGACTTTTCGGTTTTTCAATTTTTTGATTTTTAAAATATGTATGTGATTTTTCAATTTCTCAGTTTCTCGTTTTTTTAACTTCCCATTTTTTTTATTTTTTCGATTTTAAGCTATTTCAGCTTCTCTATTTTAAGCCTTCTCGAATTTTTGATTTCTCGATTCCTCGATCTTTTCATCTTTCGGATTTTTCGATTTCTCGGATTTTCCAATTTTTCGGTTTTCAATTTTCCAATTTTTCGATGTTTCGATTAACCGATTTTTCGAGAATTAGTTTGGGGATTTTTTTAATTTTTCGATTTCTCGTTTTTTTTTATTTTTCAATTTTTAGTTTTTAAATTTTACATTTTTCGATTTTTCAAAATTTTGATTATGATTTTTCGGTTTTTGGGTTTTCAATTTTTCAATTTCTTAAATTTTGCATTTTACGATTTTTCAAAATTTTGATCATGATTTTTCAATTTCCCGATTTCTAGTTTTTTTTTATTCTTCAATGTTTAGTTTTTTAATTTTATATTCTTGGATTTTTCAAAATTTTGATTATGATTTTTCAATCTTCGGGTTTTCAATTTTTCGATTTCTTAAATTTTGCATTTTTCGATTTTTCAAAATTTTGATTATAATTTTTCAATTTTCCGGTTACACTTTTTTTTCTTATTTTTCTGTTTTTTGGTTTTTCAATTTTTAGTTTTGAAATTTTACATTTTACGATTTTTCAAATTTTTTATTATGATTTTTATGTTTTCGGTTTTTAATTTTTCGTTTTCTTAAATTTTATATTTTTCGATTTTCCGATTTTTCAATTTTTTGATTTTTAAAATATTAGATCTTTCGATTTTCCAATTTTTTGATATTTTGATTTTATAATTTTTGGAAAATTTTAGATGTTTCGGTTTTATAATTTTTCGATAATTAATTTTTGGGATTTTTGAGTTTCTCGATTTCTCGTTGTTTTAATTTCCCATTTTTTTCAAGTTTTCGATTTTGAGCTATTTCTATTTTTCGCTTTTAGGACTTCTCGAATTTTTGATTTCTCGATTTTAAATTTTTCGGTTTCTGATTTTCCAGTTTGTTAGTTTTTCAATTTTACGAGTTTTTAGATCTTACATTTTTTGATTTTTTGATTTTTCCAATTTTTTATTATCATTTTTCAGTTTTAAGTTTTGCATTTTTTTGATTTCTTATATTTTATATTTTTGATTTTTCAGTTTTTCGATTTTACGACTAGAGTTGACAAGTTTTCCAATTTTCAGTTGTTCAACATTTCAATTTTGGAAATTTTTCAGTTTGAGAATTTTTCAATTTTTCGATATTTTAATTTTTCGTTTTCTTAAATTTTAGATTTTTCGATGTTTTGCTGTTTTGACTTTTAGGTTTTACAATTGTTTGAAATTTAAAATAATTCATTTTTTTTCTCGATTTAAAATTTTTCGGTTTCTAGGATTTTTTAATTTTTCGAATAACCGATTTTTCGAGAATTTAGTTTGAGAAATTTTCAATGTCCAGATTTCTCGTTTTCTTTTATTTTTGATTTAAATTTTAGAATTTTCGATTTTTTGATGTTTTGACTCTTCGATTTTCCAATTTTTTGATATTTCAATTTTATGATTTTTCAATTTCCCAATTTTTCGAAATTTTTAGATGTTTCGATTTTACAATTTTTCGACTTGCCCATTTTTAGAGAATTTAGTTTAGGGATTTTTCAATTTCTCGATTTATCGTTTTATTTAATTTCTCATTTTTTTTTATTTTTCAATTTTGAGGTATTTCAATTTCTCTATTTTAAGACTTTTTGGTTTCTCGATTCCTCAGTCTTTTCAATTTTCGATTTCTCGATTTTCAGTTTTTCGGTTTCTCGGATTTTCAACTTTTCGGTTTTCAATTTTCCAATTTTTCGACGTTTCGAGTTTTCAATTTTTCGAGAATTCAGTTTGGGGATTTTTCAATTTCCCGATTTCTTTTTTTTTTATTTTACATTTTTAGATTTTACAATTTTTCAAATTTTTGATTACGATTTTTCGATTTTTGGTATTTCAATTTTTACGGTTTCTTAAATTTAATTTTTTTCAATTTTTCAGTTTTACGATTTTTTGGTGTTTCGACTTCCCAATTTTAGAATTTTTGTAAGTCCTCGATTTTTCGAATTTTCGATCCTTTTCATGTTTCGATTTCTCGATGTTTGAATTTTTCGATGTCGGTTTTTCGAAATTTCCAATTTTTCAATGGTTTTACGATTTTTTGGTGTTTCGATTTCCCGATTTTTCGACTTTTTGATTTCTCGAGTCAACAAGTTTTCGAATTTTTCAATTTTTCAATATTTTAATTTTCCTTGTACTAAAATTTTAGATTTTTCTATTTTTTGATGTCTTCACTTTTCGCTTCTTCAATTTTTTGACTTTTCAAATGTTTGATTTTTCGATTTTTCAATTTTTCGATGTTTCGATTGTATAATAATTTTCGATTTTCCAATTTTTCTGTGTCGAATTTATTTTTTCCCAATTTTTCGAGAATTCAGTTCAGAGGTTTTCCAATTTCTCGATTTTAAGACTTCTCTTGAATTTTTGATTTCTCGATTTTCAAGTTTTCAGTTTTTGGGATTTTCAACTTTCTGATTAACCGATTTTTCAAGAATTCAGTTTGGGGATTTTTCAATTTCCAATTTCTTCTTTTTTATTTTTTGATTTTTCAGTTTTTTGGTTTTTCAATTTTTCAATTATTGTTTCAGTGTTCGGTTTTTCATTTTCGAATTTTCTAATTTTCGATGGTTTTACGATTTTTTGGTGTTTCGTCTTAATAATAATAGGTTTATTTACGGCAAAAAAATCCTTCCCGATTGTCAAGATTTTTAGTATTTCAAGTTTAAGATTTTTTGAATTGTTGGTTTCTCGAGTTAACAAGTTTTCGAATTTTCAGTTGTTCAGTATTTCAATTTCAATTTGGAAACCGGAAAGTTTCCAAATTGAAATTTTTGATTGTACGATTTTTCAAATTTTTGGTTATCAGTTTTCGGTTTCTCATGTTTTCGATTTCTTAAATTTTATGATTTTTCGACTTTTTAAATTCTCAAGTTGACAAATTTTCGAATTTTCATTTGTTCAATATTACAATTTTGGAAAAAATTTTTGACTTTTCGGTTTTTTAATTTTTTGATTTTTAAAATATTTGATTTCTCGATTTCTCGATTTTTTCATCTTTCGATCTCTCGATTTTCAATTTATAGGTTTCTTGGATTTTCAACTTTTCGGTTTTCAATTTTCCAATTTTTTGACGTTTCGATTCTTAAATTTTCCGATTAAGCGATTTTTCGAGAATCCAGTTTGGGGACTTTTTAATTTTCCGATTCCTTTTTTATTGATTTTTCAGTGTTTTGATTATTAAATTTTACATTTTTCGATTTTACGACTTTTTTGTGTTTCTATTTCCCGATTTTCAAAATTTTTAATATTTCAATTTTTCGATTTTTCGACTCTGATTTCTCGAGTTAACAAATTTTCCAATTTTCATTTGTTAAACATTTTAATTTTAATTTTTCGTTTTCTAAAACTTTAGGTTTTTCCATTTTTTGATGGTTTGACTTTTAGGTTTCACAATTTTTTAATTTTTAAAATATAATTGATTTTTTGATTTGCTAATTTTTCGAAATTTTACGATGTTTCGATTTTATAATTTTTCGGTTTCTCGGATTTTCATATTTTTCGGTTTTTGATTTTCCAATTTTTCGACGTTTCGGTTTTCAATTTTTCGATTAACCGATTTTTTTGAGAATTCAGTTTTTCGAGTTTTTAAATCTTAAATTTCAATTTTGGAAATGTTTCAATTTTTCGATTTCTAAAGTGTTAGAATTTTCAGTTTTTTGATTTTCCAAAAGGTGATAAATATTATCACCAAAGAAATGTGACCGTCCATGACCTGACAAGCATCACCGCTCCCGTAAATACTTCAGACCAAATTTTTTACCAAAGAAAAAAAAGAAAAAGTTACTAGTGTTTGGTCCAAAATTTAAATTCGCAATGCCAGATGTAGTAATGTTTATTTGTGAGTTTGACGTCCAGAATTTGGACACAAAACCTGATTTGACGTTTTACGATTTGACAGTGAAAATGTATGTGAGAATGCGATGACAGATGAATTTTGGCTGCGGATCCGAAATGAGTGAATCTTCGATTAATGGCCGGACGAAACGCAGCACTGGACTCAGATTTAGGCTGAATTTAACTCAACAATAAGACGCTGAGGCGCAATTCTTCATCATGAGTCAACGTCACTGGTTTGAATTTGGCCTTGCTCAGAACTGGGTTCGCAAAGATACGATTCAGGCGGACCTGGTGCAGGGCCTTGTGGTAACTATTCTGCATTGCATCCAGTTCGTCCTTGACGGGCCGCTTCATTCGTTTCTTAACTTTTAGTGCTCTTAACCTACAAATTTCGGAACTAGGAGTCAGTAGATTTTGAAGGCTCTAGTTGTAGTTTACTCACTATGGTAAGTCTTTGGCTATTGAGCGGACGGGAGATAGGTGGGCTTTATCTGGTACAGATTTCTCGGAGAGGGAAGCTTCCTCTATAAGAATTCCACCAGATTTTGTCTCGTCTACGTGAATTTGGAAGCGCTTGGATGTGCGTGGACTAATGGAGTGAAAGTAGAAGGCCGCTGGGGATTTCCTCGGTGCAGGTGCTAGAAGTTCAGACGAAATTTTCCGGACGAAATTAAATTTGGCGTCTTTGGAGAAGGTGAAAGAGGATTTACGGCGAAGGTCTGACATATTCAAAATTTTGGACTGAAAATTTGCGAAGATTCACTCAAGAGACAGTCATAGAATGAGACAGTTCTCGGACGAAAATTCTACAGTGTTTTTAAATTTTGAAGGTTGCCTAGCAAGGGTGGTTTTGTTTTTGCAGGTTCAATAGGTTTTCGTAATGAACAGTTTTTAGAACTTTTCACATTTATTTTAACATTACATTCATATATTTATTTTAATTTATATGTAAGGGTTATCATAAGTTTTCAATTTCTCGATTTTCCAGTTTTTCGGTTTTTCAGTTTTTCAATTTTTTGAATTCTCGGATTTTTGATATTTTCATTCCTATATTTTTCAACTTTCAATTTTGGAACTTTTCAGTTAATCGATTCTTCAATTTTTCGAATTTTCAATTTTTTTAATTCTCGATTTTCAGATTTTCGATTTCTCAATTTTCCAATTTTTCAGTTTTACCATTTTTCGATTTTTTGATTCTTCAATTTTTCGATTTTCTCGATTTCTGTATTAATCGATTTTGTTATTTCTTAATTGTTCGTCTTTCGATGTTTGATTTCTCGATTTCTCAATTTTTCAAGGTTTCAGTTTTGGAATATTTCTATATTTCATTTTTTCGATTTATCAGTTTTTGAATTTTTCAATACTTCAATTTTTTTAATTTTAAGTTTTTCGATTAAAAATGTGTCGATTTTTCGATTTTAAGTCTTATAGAATTTTTGATTTTTTAGTTTTCCGATTTTTCAGTTTATCAATAATTTGATTTCTCGATTTATCGACATTCCAGTGTTTCAGTTTTTTGAATTCTCGGATTTTTGATATTTTCAATCCTATATTTTTCAACTTTCAATTTTGGAAATTTTCAGTTAATCGATTCTTCAATTTTCGAATTTTCAATTTTTTAAATTCTCGATTTTCATTTTTTAGATTTCTCAATTTTCCAATTTTCCAGTTTTACCATTTTTCGATTTTTTGATTCTTCAATTTTTCGATTTTCTCGATTTCTGTATTAATCGATTTTGTTATTTCTCAATTTTTCGTCTTTCGATGTTTGATTTCTCGACTTCTCGATTTCTCAATTTTTCAAGGTTTCAGTTTTGGAATATTTCAATTTTTCATTTTTTCGATTTATCAATTTTTGAATTTTTCGATACTTCGATTTTTTTAATTTTAGGTTTTTCAATTAAATGTGTCGATTTTTCAATTTTAAGTCTTATCGAATTTTTTGATTTTTCAGTTTTCCGATTTTTCAGTTTAGTTGATTTCTCGATTTGTCGATATTCCAATGTTTCAAGTTTTTGAATTCTCGGATTTTTGATATTTTCATTCCTATATTTTTCAACTTTCAATTTTGGAACTTTTCAGTTAATCGATTCTTCAATTTTCGAATTTTCAATTTTTTAAATTCTCGTTTTTCAGATTTTCGATTTCTCAATTTTCCAATTTTTCAGTTTTACCATTTTTCGATTTTTTGATTCTTCAATTTTTCGATTTTCTCGATTTCTGTATTAATCGATTTTGTTATTTCTCAATTTTTCGTCTTTCGATGTTTGATTTCTCGACTTCTCGATTTCTCAATTTTTCAATGTTTCAGTTTTGGAATATTTCAATTTTTCATTTTTTCGATTTATCAATTTTTGTATTTCTCAATACTTCGATTTTTTTAATTTTAGGTTTTTCAATTAAATGTGTCGATTTTTCAATTTTAAGTCTTATCGAATTTTTTGATTTTTCAGTTTTCCGATTTTTCAGTTTAGTTGATTTCTCGATTTGTCGATATTCCAATGTTTCAAGTTTTTGAATTCTCGGATTTTTGATATTTTCATTCCTATATTTTTCAACTTTCAATTTTGGAACTTTTCAGTTAATCGATTCTTCAATTTTCGAATTTTCAATTTTTTAAATTCTCGTTTTTCAGATTTTCGATTTCTCAATTTTCCAATTTTTCAGTTTTACCATTTTTCGATTTTTTGATTCTTCAATTTTTCGATTTTCTCGATTTCTGTATTAATCGATTTTGTTATTTCTCAATTTTTCGTCTTTCGATGTTTGATTTCTCGACTTCTCGATTTCTCAATTTTTCAATGTTTCAGTTTTGGAATATTTCAATTTTTCATTTTTTCGATTTATCAATTTTTGTATTTCTCAATACTTCGATTTTTTTAATTTTAGGTTTTTCGATTAAAAATGTGTCGATTTTTCGATTTTAAGTCTTATCGAATTTTTTGATTTTTCAGTTTCCCGATTTTTCATTTTTTCAATATTTTGATTTCTCGATTTATCGACATTCCAATGTTTCAATTTTTTGAATTCTCGGATTTTTGATATTTTCAATCCTATATTTTTCAACTTTCAATTTTCGAATTTTCAATTTTTTAAAGTCTCGATTTTCAGATTTTCGATTTCTCAATTTTCCAATTTTTCAGTTTTACCATTTTTCGATTTTTTGATTCTTCAATTTTTCGATTTTCTCGATTTCTGTATTAATCGATTTTGTTATTTCTCAATTTTTCATCTTTCGATGTTTGATTTCGCGACTTCTCGATTTCTCAATTTTTCAAGGTTTCAGTTTTGGAATATCCAAACTTTTCATGTTTTCGATTTATGAGATACTGAATTTTTCGATACTTCGATTTTTTTAATTTTAGGTTTTTCGATTAAAAATGTGTCGATTTTTCGATTTTAAGTCTTACTGAATTTTTTGATTTTTCAGTTTTCTGATTTTTCATTTTTTCAATATTTTGATTTCTCGATTTATCGACATTCCAATGTTTCAATTTTTTGAATTCTCGGATATTTGATATTTCCATTCTTAGATTTTTCACTTTCTATTTCCCAATTTTTCGATATTTCAATTTTGTAAGTTTTTAGTTAATCGATTCTTCAATTTTTCGAATTTTCAATTTTTTAAATTCTCGATTTTCACAGTTTCGGTTTCTCAATTTTCCAATTTTTCAGTTTTACCATTTTTCGATTTTCTCGATTTCTGTATTAATCGATTTTGTTATTTCTCAGTTTTTCGTCTTCCGATGTTTGATTTCTCGACTTCTCGATTTCTCAATTTTTCAGTGTTTCAGTTTTGGAATATTTCAATTTTTCATTTTTTCGATTATCAATTTTTGAATTTTTCAATACTTCGATTTTTTTAATTTTAGGTTTTTCGATTAAATATGTGTAGGTTTTTCGATTTTATGTCTTATTGAATTTTTTGATTTTTGAGTTTTTCGATTTTTCATTTTTTCAATATTTTGATTTCTCGATTTATCGATATTCCAATGTTTCAATTTTTTGAATTCTCGGATTTTTGATATTTCCATTCCTAGATTTTTCAACTTTCTATCTTCCAATTTTTCGATATTTCAATTTTGGAACTTTTCAGTTAATCGATTCTTCACTTTTCGAATTTTCAATTTTTTTGATTCTCGATTTTCAGATTTTCGATTTCTCAATTTTCCAATTTTTCAGTTTTACCATTTTTCGATTTTTTGATTCTTCAATTTTTCGAGTTTCTCGATTTCTGTATTAGTAGATTTCCTTATTTCTCAATTTTTCGTCTTTCGATTTTGATTTCTCGACTTCTCGATTTCTCAATTCTTCAAGGTTTAGGAATATTTCAATTTTTCATTTTTTCGATTTATCAATTTTTGAATTTTTCAATATTTCGATTTTTCAAATTATAGATATTTCGATTTCTCTATTTTTCAGTTCTTCGATTTAATTGTCTATTTTTCCAATATTTAAATTTTAGTACTTTCAATTTTTTGAATATTTGGTTTTTCAATTTTTTAATTTTTCAGTTCAATTCCCCATTTTATTTGAATTTTTCTATTTTGGGATTTTCAATATCTTGATATTCGGACTTTTCGAATTTTTAATTTCTCGATTTCTTGTTTTCTTTTATTTTTCTTAAATTATTATATATGTTTATTTTAATTTATAGGGCTATCAAAAATTTTCGATTTCTCGATTTTTTCATGTTTCAGTTTCTCAATATTTCAATTTTCTGATTTCTCAGGTTTTCGATTTTTCGGCTTTTCTATATTCCAATTTTTCGATGTTTCTATTTCCCGATTTTCGAATTTATTTTGGGGATTTTTGAATCGCTGGATTTCTCGCTTTTTTGTTTTTAAGTTTTTTGATTCCTTAAAATTTTACATTCTTGATATTTTAATTTTTCGATTTCTCGATTTTTAACATTTTTAATAATTCAAGTTTTCGATTTTTAGAATTTTTGATTTTTCGACATCTCAGTTTTTCGATTTTTAAACATTTTCGATTTTTCGAATTCTCGATTTTACAAGTTTTTGATTTCTCAACTGTTCAACATTTAGGAAAATTTTCAGTTTCTGGATGTTTCAATTTTTTGATAAGTATTTTGTATTTTAATTTTTGAACTTTTCGGATTTTGATTTTTCGGTTTTTTAATTTTAAATTTTTAAATTTTTTGATCTTTCGATTCTTCAAGTTTTCGCTTCTCAATTTTTTGATTTCTTGGCTTTTCGATATTTGATTTCTCGACTTCTGGGACTTTTGGGATTTTTCAGGTTTTCGATTTTTTGATTTATCGATTTATCAATTTTTAGATATTTTGGTTCTGTATTTTTCAGTACTTCGACTTTTTAAATTTTAGATTTTTGGTTTTCTCAATTTTTCAGTTCTTCGATTTATCTATTTGTGAATTTGTCCAATTTTTTAAGATTTTTAGACTTCTTGAATTTTCGATTTCTCGATTCCTCGATAAGGGCTATCATAAAAAAATAAAAATTCGCAAAATCAAATGTTATAATTTAATAAATACAAAAATTATAAAATCATTGAAATAACGAAACATTGAAAAAATAAAGAACGCAAAAAACCGAAACAAAAAGATGAAGAAATGAAAAATTGAAAACTTGTGAAACTGGAAATCGGAAAAATGCAAAACTTAAAAACTGAAACATTCAAAATCTGAAAAATCAAAAAACTGAAAACATAAAAATTCTGCAATTTTTCGTTTTACATTTCCTTTATTTTTTCGATGTTTCTGTCGATTGTATAATTTTTCGTTTATTCAATTTTTCAAATCTTCAGTCGCTGATTTTTCAATT